CTTGTGTTTCAGCAGCAAGACCTAAGGCGTAATTGGACAGGGCTTTGAGCAGGAGCTCAGCTGAGCAGCTCACATGTTTCTCCTAACAGACCTATGCCCCTGAGGCTATGTGGAACCCTTTTCAGTCTGTACGATGGCAAACTCCTTTGATATATGCTTTGATATATGCCTTCAACATGCTGAGGCATAAGTGTATCGTAAGAGCTAGTCAGCAGCTTTTCTCTTTAATAAATGTAGATATTTGTGGGTTTATTCACTCCTGACCTGGTTCAGAAGCTTCAGAGTCATGATCTGGATCCACCACCTAATAATCCTAATTCCAGTAACTAACTTCTTTGGATATGAAAATGTATTACAATTCAGATTAAAATATCATTCTAGAGCACTGGAGGAAAAAACAAAACAAAACAAAACAAACTTTTGTTCTACAGCTCAATACTGGCAAAAGTTACAATGGGAAGTCATAACTGATATAAGCACGGAAAGTAGGCCTCAAAGAAATCACTGATCAGAGAAAGGAACAGTTGGACCTAAAATGTTCCTGCAGGGTGTATTTTTTTCTAAAATGTTCCTGCAGGATTTTTTTTTCCTAAAATATTCTTTAAAATGTTCTTATTCCATTAAATTAGCTACTGGCAGGAAATGTTTCCTAAAGCCTATCCCAAAGCTGCCCTGACAAAGTTAAAGCATTTTTGTTTTCTCCACATTAGATAGACAAGAGTTTACTCCCTTCTTTGCAATGTGATTGTCACAGCCTTTCTGTGTAACAATATTCTGAAGAAAATGATGAAGAGCACTGTTTTGCACAGTATCACAGGGCACGGCTGAGGTTGGAAGGGACCTGTGGAGGTCATCTGGTCTGACATCCCTGCTCAAGCCCCTTGCCCAGGACCATGTCTCCGTGGCTTGGAAGCTCTCCAAAGATGGAGACTGCAGCAGCTTTCTGGGCAACTTCTGCCAATTCACCATCACCCCCACAGTAAAAAAGTGTGTCCTGATGTTCATAGGGAACCTCCCATGTTTCAGTTTGTGCCCACTGCCTCTAGTCCTGTCACTGGGCATGACTGGAAAGTGCCTGATTATATACTCTTAGCACCCTGCCTTCATGTTTTTATATACATTGATAAGGTCCCCTCTGAGCCTTCTCTTCGCCAGGCTGAACTGACCCAGCTCTCTCAGTCATAGCAGAGATGCTCCAGTCCCTTCATCATCTTTATGGCCCTCCACTGGATTCCCTCCTGTATGTCCATCTCTCTCTTGTACTGGGGAGCCCAGAACTGGGCACAATATTCTAGTAGTGGCCTCACTGGTGCTGAATGGAGGGGAAGCATCATCTCCCTCAACCTACAGGCAATACTCCTCCTATTACAGCCCAGGATACCACTAACCTTCTCTGCTGCAAGGGCACACTGCTGGCTCATGTTCAACTTGGTGTCTACCAGGACTCCCAGGTGTTTTTCTGCAGAGCCAGTCTCTAGCTGGGTGGTTCCTACCGGGCACTGGTGCTTGTAGTTGTTCCTCCCCAGCTGCAGAACTTTTCACTTCCCCTTTTTCAGTTTCATGAGGTTCCTCTCAGCCCGTTTCTGCAGCCCACTGACCTGGTAGCACAACCCTCCAGTGTGTCAGCCACTCCTCCCAGGTTTGCATCATCTGCAAACTCGCCAACAGTACACTCTGCCCCACTGTGCAAATCATTAATGAAGATGTTGAACAGGATCAGACCCAGTATTGACCCCTGGGATACACCACTAGTTACTGGTCACCAGCTAGACTTTTCACCAATGATCATGACCCTCTGGGACTGGGCATTCACCTCACTGTCTGTACATCCAGCCCATACATCAACAGCTTCTCTATGAAGATATTATAGGAGACAGTGTCAAAACCCTTACTGAACTCTAGGTAGACAATAATCACTACTCTCTCTCCATTTCATCATAGAAGTTTAACAAGTTGGTCAAGCATGACTTCCCCTTGGTGAATCCATACTGACTACTCCTGATGCTCTTCATGTGCCTGGAAATTTATTAAGCTGAACCATTTAATAAGCTTAACAAGCAATATAATTACTTTATTTCAGTAATTTTACAAATGATATCCCTAACATTAAGGTTTTCATTTTATGAAAATGACATCAAATTAATAGTGGAATGTAACGAATTCCTGGTAGTGTTGCATTATTTACCATTCACCGATGTTTTTAGTCTTTTCAGGGAGAAGAAAATATGAAAGAAGCCGAAATGGCACTCCAATATTTAAAAAGATCTCCTAACCCTGGATTACTAAAACCAGTATGACAGTTTTGTTAGCTCTACCACTTGCCTGACAAATACAGTTACTCAATCCTGAGAAACAAGGTTTATCAAAATGATGTGAGGGATTTTAAAGAGAATTGGATGCATATTGCCTAAGAATCATTTTAATCTTCTTCAGAATTATGACTTGGTATATTTGTGAGTATCTGAAATAGAAGGAAAGGTTGTTTTAGAGGGACTACAGGCTTTCTTTTCTGAGTGAACTCAAAAGAGGGTTATACATAAGCTTTCATAAAGGTCAATTTTCTCTCACATTCAATATGCTTGAGGTAAGCTGAAAGGTTATAAAGAAGGCACACAGATGAAACATCTTCCATCCAGCAGAACCCCTTTGTTGTAGTGGTTTGATCTTCCTTTCAATTATTACACAATGCCATTCCTAACAGACACTATTGTGTACTCTCTGCCTTAGCGTGCTGGATTTCTGTGGCCGGGTTTCTTGTAGTGAGGGAGAGGGCTACAGCGGTGGCCCCTGTGAGAAGCTTCTTGAAGCTCCCCCAGATCCAAGTTGGCCCAACCTCTGCACCAAGGCTGAGCCAATTAACAATGGTGGCTGCGGAACATATTTAGGAAGGGGAACCTGAGAGGGAGGGGAACATGTGAGAAGGAGTTATGAGGACACCTATGCAAACACCCAGGTCAGTGGAAAGAAGGAGAAGGAAGGGAGGGAAGATGTGCCGGAGCAGAGATCCCTGTATCCTGTGGTGAGACAGCAGGGCTGGCCCCCCTGCCACCCATGAAGGTTCACGGTGGAGCAGAGACTGATCTGCAGCCTGTGGAGGAGCCCACACCAGAGCAGGCAGCTGTGCTTAAAGGAAGGCGGGATTCTGAGGGGAGAAGCAGCCCCCACTGTTGTGGTTAGGCGCTGGGAGGACTGCTACACGCAGGGGTGACCCACGCCGGGGCAACTCAGGAACAGCTGCATCCCGTGGGGAGGACTCACTGCGGAAAAGGTTCGTGGAGGACTGTCTCCGGTGGGAGGGGAGCCACGTGGAGCAGGGGAAGAATGTGCAGAGTTCACTCCCCCTCCCGAGAAGGCAGGAGCAGTGAGCTGACTGTGAACCCCATCCCCTGCGCCCTGCGCTGCAGGGAGGGGAGGTAGAGATGGGGAACAGAGCTGAGCTTGGGGAGATGTTTCTGGATGCGGTAGCGCTTCTGACTGTCCCACCTTGTCTGTTTAGTGTTGTCTTTGTTAGCATTTGAATTGATGTTTTGTGGGGTTTTTTTGTTTTTTTCTTCCCCTAATGAGTATGTCTTTTGCCTGTGACCAAAATGGGTAAACCACCACTCCCTGTTCTTATCTGGATCCCTGAGCCATTTTGCTTCATTTTCTCCTTCCCATTCCTGAAAGGGGAAGGGGTGAGTGAATAGCTTCCTGGTGCTCAGTGGCCCTCTGGGCTCAAACCACAACACTTAAATATTCAAAAATAACAGTTGTGCTGCCTAAAACTAAATTAATAAACCACAACATACGCTGGTTTGAATAATCCAACCAATACCTTAGAAAACTTGTAGGAGGTTTGTGTTTGTACAGTTATACCGGAATTGATATTCCTGCTGAGGATCTCTATTGTCATTTCACACATTTAACTACACTAGTAAAAAAATACTGAATTCATTTTGCCTGTAAATGACCAGTGCCAACATGCCCTAAAATCCTGTCAAGAGAAAAACATTACTGCTAGATTATAATAAGGACTCCTTTTAACATCTATAATGCATGAGACTGGTTTATACTTTAGCATTTAAGACATGAGGCTCCAGTACCAGTAAAAACAATGCTGCTCAAACCTACGATCTCAACCCAGACATTTGTGTTAGCACTTATGCCTCACATGACTTCCAATTTCGGCCCCCCCCCCCCCCCATAAGTTTTCAGGCAGATGATCACAGATCATACCCATGTTTCTGGTAGCACCATGAAAGCAAAAAAATTAAATTAGCCTTCTTTTACTACAGGGGCTTGAGGAGACAGCAGCCGGCCATAGGCAGGGGACACAGAATACTGAAGAAGCAACAGTGAGATTGGCCTTTCTGGCAACATTCCCACTAGGTTGATCTCATCTCACAGGGCAGCTACACCCAAGAAATACCACCAGTTTGGGAAAAGTGCAGAATTTAGTATTTAGCTACTGAAAAAAGCCCGCTGCCAAAAATAACACTCATATCCTAAGGAACTTCAGTGCCTCCTATTAAATCCTGGCAAGCTGCTACTTAAGTTTTACCCTGGTGCTGTTTTGCTGGCTAGGAACGTTTGTAAACATAAAGCCTGTCCAGGCCCCACGGAGCTCCTAGCACGCCAGCACCTCCTGTTTATTTTCTGCTTGCACCCTGAGCAAGTAGCACGTTAAGTACCACAGACGCCACGGCCTTCCATGTCAGGCGAGCAGCCGTAGCCCAGCGCCCCACCAGCTCACAACACCCCCCCGGGCACCAGGGCACAAGCCTACTCGGAACTTCAACCTGAAGGATTACGGAAGGAAACTGCTGGAACGGCGCGGCCCCTCCGCCCGCCCCCCCGCCCTGCCGCGCTCCCAACCGTCGCTCCCGCCCGCTCACAGCCCCCGGCAGCTTCCGGGGTCAGGCAGGAAGGCCGGCGCTCGAGTCAGGCGGCGGCGCGGCGCGGCACGCGATTGGCTGCCCCGGCAGCGCCAATGGGAGCCGAGCTGGGAGATTCGAATCGAGCGGGTGGCGGAAGCGGGCGGTCAGTCGCTGAGGGGTTGTCTGTTGGCAGGGCGTCCGGCCGTTGCTACTGGTTCTGTCGCCATGGCCCACAAGCAGATCTATTATTCTGACAAGTATTTTGATGATCAATACGAGTACCGGTACGAGGGCTGTGGGGGAGGGCTGGCTGAAGGCGTTAGGAAGGGGCTCCTGCCGGTCCTTTCGGAAGGGTGGCGCGGCTTGGGCAGGCGCTTGCGCTGAGCTCCGCCGGCGGCGGCGTTGAGCGTGGCCCTGGCGCCCGTGGGGCCAGGGGGGCTTAGGGTGCGAGTGGAGGGGCCGCGCCTTGCCCCTTCGCGGTGTTTTTTTGCGTCTGTTGGGAACGGCGTGGGGGGAGGGTGAGGGGGTGTGGAGGCGTGTGATTCGAGTGCTGGTCTCGCCTGGCCCTTCCAGGGCCCATCGGCGAGCGGGCAACGCAAGCCCCGGCGGGCGGTGAAGGAAGCGGGGCGGCGGGGGGGGGGAAGGGCAAGGCGGGGTCCCCGCGGGCTAGGCCTGGCCGGTGCCCGCCCTGCCGGTGGCGGAAGCCGCAGCCGCTCCCCGGGGGGAGGGGGAAGGGGGGGCGGGGGCTGGGCCTGGGCCCGTCGGGCCACCCAGCTTCGCTCGCTCAGGTGCTGTGAGGAGCCGGAGCCGGAAGCTCGCACCCTTCCGTTGGGAACGATGGCCGCAGCTAAGAGTAACGCCCCGCGCCGGCGCGGTTCGAGCCCTGAACGGGGGTGGAGCGTGTGTTTTGCTTTACGCATCGGCTTTGGAGGCAGCTCGTGAGGCCACGTCAACACGTAGGACTAATGAACGTTCGTACAAGCCTCGAGGCAGTGCTCTGTTGCGTAGTTTTCAAAGCTGTAATACAGCACTAATGAGATCTGGATTATAACTGGGACTGTTGAAATCCAGTCCTCTAGGCTTACTTGAAAGCGCTACTACAAATCAGGTGTTTGGTTTTTTTTCCCCTCTGTGTAGAGGTCTAAGTGTACCTCTTATCAGAGGACTCTTACAATCTCAAAACCAAGATTAAATGCACTGCTTTCTATTGAGCGATAAAGGAAGATGCAGAGAGCAGGCTGTATGTTTCTCCTCAGTTGACATATCCTGCTCTTAAGTGGTGTTAGTGTTCCATCTGTTTAAACCAACACTGTCTCTGAAAAATACATTGTTGATTACAAAATGCAAAATACAAGTAAGAGTGGAGTTTTAGAACAAATGATAAACCCCTTACTTCTCAAATAGCTGGTATGACTGCCTCTTGCCAGGAACTCATACTTCGATACAAGTAGCATGATTAGAGCATGCAAGGGAATTAATCTCTTCTAGGAAGTAGGTTGCCTGCTTCAGTATACAGTTTCATGATAGGTGTAATGTTCAGTAGACAAAGTGATTTTAAAATTGGATTCTGAGACAGATGCCTCATAACCAAATCTGGCATCAGTCAGCACCCAAGGCTTCTTTATAGGGATTGCTGGTGTTCATAACTGAACTTGCTTACTGTCTTTCAGTGTATATTTGTGCAAATCTTCTAGTGTACACAGGCATTAATGTATGTAGTGTGTGTTTAATTAAACTTCCACAGACACGTGATGCTGCCAAGAGAACTTTTGAAACAAGTGCCAAAATCCCATTTAATGTCCGAAGAGGAGTGGAGACGTCTTGGTGTTCAGCAGAGTCTTGGCTGGGTTCACTATATGATCCATGAGCCAGGTAAGAATATCTGAACACAATTAGATGAGCAAAAAAGGTCTAAAATATCAACTGCCTGGTGCATTTGCCGACTGTCATGGTTTGAGCCTGGTCAGCAGCCAACCACCTGGGAATGGGGGAGGGAATTGGAGGGGTAAATGGAGACTCGCAGGTTGAGATAGGAACAGTTTAATAATGGTAATAAAACGAGAACAATGACAGTAATAGAAAAAATATAAACAGGCAATGCACAATGGAGTTGCTCACCACCTAGCCTGTTCCCAGCTAGCGATCCCAAAATACCAAGATCCTGCAATCGGAATCCTGGAAGCAAGAGAGGGAGCAGGCCCCCCTTCCCGACCACCCCTCCTCTATATAGTGAGCATGATGTTCCATGATACAGAATATTTCATTGGCCAAATTGGGTCTGACGCTCTTGCTGTGCTCCTTCCCTGCTTCTTGTGAACTTGTACACAGGCAGGACATGGGGAGTTGGAGAGTCCTTGAAGTCTCAGTAGCAGCTGAAAATATCAGTGTGCTATCAGCATTCTTCCCATACCAAACCCAAAGCTAAATCCAAAACACTGAAAAGGAATATTAACTCTATTTCAGCCCAAACCAGGACACCAACAAAGGCAACATAACAGGCTTTATTAAACCTTCACATCTTGCTCCCAGATCTGCAAAATGCTAGCCTTAACCTAGTTATGTGTGGTCTATCAGTAGACAAAATGTGCCGGACTAGAAACTGTTCCTACCTCTGCCTATAGAAGTAGGCTTCTTTGAATAGCTCTTGAAAAATAGCTCTTGAATAATGTTACTATGCCATTGATTGAACCAAACTTTACATAGCATCATACCCTTAAATAAAAAGCCCCTACTTTTTGTACAAAAGCTTAATAGATGCTTATGTAGACATGGTCCTGTATTAATGCTCTGCAAACTCAGTAGTTTGAACTCCAGTAATACAGCCTACTAAAAGCAGCACTTAAAACCTGTCTTACAAGTAATGGGATGTGAAGCCCTAAAACTGACTAGAATGTGCTGAAAACAGCCATTCAAGGTAACTTATCATTGACAAGCCCAACTAAAAAGTAAGTGGTGATAGATGAATTGCAGTGTCATGGAGTTCCAAGCTTCTGAAGAACCAGGAGAAGAAATTAGCATAACCTTCTTGTTTCCGTTACCTGGGCACCTTTTCATATTCCTGGCTTTTTTGGAGCAGCTTACAATTAAGTCAGAACAGTAATAATGCAAGCTGTCTCTATTAGCTACAGTAGCTTTTGTTGTTGCTTGACACTACGTACCTAACAAGGACAGCATTAGCAGTTTGTTAGTCTAAGTTACAGTAACAAAGCTCGTCAAATAGTCTAATGTAGAGAGACAGAGTTAGTACCAATATTAACTAAAAATACCCTATTTTTTCCAGTATTTCCTTCCTGTAAGTATCTTAAGTTTATGCTGCTGCCAACATCTGGTATAAAACTTTGAGGAGCACCAGTTTGACTGTTGTAAGGTTACTGCAAAGTTGATCTGTTAATACTACACATGGGGCCATATTTGTGGACAACTTAATCTGTTTACTTGGCAGCAAGCTTCAACTACTGTTCAAGACTTCCTAAATGGAAGAAATCCTTGTAATCAGTACTTGGGGAACAGACTGACAATTTTATTTCAATTTTATTTCTGCAGAACCGCATATTCTTCTCTTCCGAAGACCTCTTCCAAAGGATGAGAAGAAATGAACCATTGTCTATACGTCTTCTGAATCTTCTGGAACTATGTCTGAGTGTATATATGTTGGTGGTATTCAGTGAATACTTTTTTAAATGTACAAAACATACATCCATACCTGTGCATGAGCTGTATTATTCACAGCAACAAAGCTCAGTCAAATGCAATTCCAAGTGGGCTGCTATGGTGTTTAAAGAGTATGAGGACATGATCTTTACTGTTAATGTGCCTATAACTTTTCAGTGATTTTTATTAAGGATCGTGTATTGCATGCTCTGCCTAGAAGGTCACTTGTTACCTGTGTTCAGTAACTTTTGCACTCAGTTTTTCTACTGAACTGTAGCATGTTCAAATCCAATGGTTCTCCTATTTAGTAGACATAAATAAATAAACTTTATTTCTAATGCTCTATAAAGCCTAAGTGCCTAGAGTTCTAATTCACCAGACAAAACAAATATTCCTTGTCTAAGATGTTATGAGTATGTGGTTTGAGCTTAGAGGGCCTGAACACCACACTGAGCACTACACAGCTGCTCACTCTCCCTTTCCCCTGCCAGCACTGAGGAGGAGAAAATAAGCCAGGCTTGGGATTCGACATAGGACAGGGAGGGATAAAGCACCCATTATGGTCATGAGCAAAAGGCAGACTTGTTGGGGGAAGAAAAAAAATAACATTATTTTCTTACAGACACTAACAGCAACCTTTAACAGGCAGAGTAGGGCAGTGAGAAGCATTGCCACATCTTGAGAACACCTTCCTCCCACCCCTCCCTTCTTCCCGGGCTCAGCTCTGCTCCCGGTATCTCTGCCTCCTCCCCACAGCGGCGCAGGGACAGGGACTGGGAGGTGCAGTCAGTGCTGCTACTTTCATCTTCAGTGGTGGTGAACTTCCCCCTGCTCCAGCATGGTCCCCCTCACAGGAGACAGTCCTCCACAAACTTCAACTGGAGTCCCTCCCACGGTTGCAGCCCTTCCTGAGCTGCTCCAGCATGGGACACCCCCACATGCTGCAATCCTCCCAGTGCTGAACTACACCAGCAGCGGCTGCTTCTTCCTGCAGGGTCCTGTCTGGCTTCAGGTGCAGCCACTTTAAATAGCTGTGTGGGGCACCCCACAGGCCCCATCAGTGTCTGTTCCACCACGGACCTCCGTGGGTGGCAGGAGGGGCTTCCCTGCTGTCTCACCACAGGATACAGGGGGGTCTGCAGTGGCACACCTTCCTCCGTTTCTCCACTGACCTTGCTGTTAACATAGGTGTCACAACTGACTCCTGGGTGTCTTAAATACGTTACCACAGAGGTGCAGATAATTGGCTCGGCCTTGGTGCAGAGGTGGGTCTGACCTGGAGCAGGGAAGCTTTGAGAAGCTTCTCACAGGGGGCCACTGCTGTAGCCCCCCTCCCCTGCTACCAAAAACCCCACCACTCAAACCCAGGACAAGTACCTACTTCAGAAAAAAATTAACTTAGTGAACCTATTTTGTTTCTCTGCAAGAGTTACTTTGCCTACAGGCCAAAGTTCCTAACCTTGGTTTGAATTGCAAACTGCAGGCAATCTGAAAAGAAAGCTGGCAGTGGCAGGTAATGCTCAGACTAGCTTCTGACATGCTCAGGTTAGGGGACTCTGTAGTGATGTAGGTTATAATGGAATTAATTATTCTGCAAAGACTACTTGTCATCCTACTTTTCATGCGGTGTCTCATGATAGGATGCAAAGGAATGGCTTAATGCTCTCTCAGAGGAAGCTCAGGCTGGATTAGGAAAAAGCTGTTCACTGAGAGGGTGGTCAAGCACTGCAGCAAGCTCCCTGGGGAAGCGGTGGTGGTCCCAAGCCTGTCAGTGTTCAGGAAGTGTTTGGACAGTGCCCTTAGTTATAGATAGTTTAACTTTGGAGCTGCCCAGTGTGGAGTCAGGAGTTGGACTCGATCCTTGTGGGTACCTTCCAGCGTAGGACATTCAGTGATGACTCGGTATAAACTCTTCTTAATGTGTTAAGTAGTACTTAATATTTCATAGCGATATTTTTATGCTTGTTTGATTTACTTTGGTAGTGCCAGTTTGTTTTTCTGCTGCAAGCTTTTTAGTCTGGTTTTAGCTTGCACTTCCTGTTTTGGATCCTGCTTTTTTCTGGGAAGCTAGCTTGTACTCTCTGTGTGGGCAGCCAGGGTTTAGGTGTGAGTGCTCTTCATCCAACAAAAGCAGCTACTGGTTGTAGGACAGTATGAACTGTTTCCTCACCATAGAAAAGGTATGGGCTGATACAGGGAAACTGATCAGCCCCTTTTTAGCAATCTGCATGCCAGCAAAGGTGAGCTGCTGGATGGACTCAATCTGGCAAGTAATAAATTGCACCAGAATGGTCACACTGGTGTCTTGGGAGCCAGTACTAGCAGCCATACCGTTAGATTTTGTTTTTTAAAAGGTGCTTCAGTATATTTGGTGTTTGAGTAACTCTGTATAGCACCAGTGGTTGTGTCTGGTTTATTTCAAATGCAAGCTAGCACTACAGCTATGTAGGACTTGGAAGACCCGACAAAACCTGCACGTAGCTTAATGGGTAACTACAGGCTCTGCCTGTGTAATGTGTGCTTGTGATGAAGACTGTTACGCTGATGGGCAGAGGTAAGCAACCTGACAAATTTGGTGAGAAATATAACCCCCGTGGCCTTTCCCCTAAAGGTGCTGTCTACCTCGGTGTTGTTCACGTGGTCTGTAACCGGCTCTCCGTGCTAAAGGTCAAAGACTTTATACTCTTGCCCCTTAAGGTGGGGCTCTGCGAGGGCCGGGCAGACACCTTAATGAGAGGAACCCTCAGGAAGAGCGTTGTTGCGCTGTGCGGAAGCCATCGCTTTTCCCCAGGGCTTCAGCACCAGCGGCCTGGGTGTTGTCTTTTGCTGTCCCGCTGCCGCCGGTGCTCCTTCACAGGCTTCGGGCTGCCCGGTCGCCCGGAAGCGGCTGCCGTTACGCCTCCCCCTCCCCTCGCGCTCAAGCCCCCGACGCCGCCCACCCCCCTTCCCCCGAGCCCGGGGCCGGGGTCCGCCCGCGCGCTCGCCGCCCCCCCTCCCTCGGCGGCGACGTCATCGCGGCGCGCCGCTGCGCCGGGCAGCGGGCAGCGCTGGGGGCGGCCGCCGCGGCCCGCCCACGCCATGTCCGCGGAGCGGCGGCCGGGCTCGGGCCGAGGCGGCGAGGTAAGGGCGGCGGCAGCTCCTCGCGGTCCTCCCCCCGCCCCGCTCCCTCCTCGACCCCTCCCGGCCCGTCGCCTCCCGGGGGTGCGGGGCCGCCGGCTCGCCCCGTCCGCTGCGGGAGCCGCGGGCGGCCCGCCTCCGGCCCACCGGGCCGAGCACTCCGCCTGGCCGCGGGCCACCCCCCCCCCCCAGGAGCGGAGCGGGTCCCTCGCACCGCGCCCTCAGCCAGGCTCCGGGCCAGGGCGGGGCAGAAGGGCCCTTCTGGAAGGGCAGAGGCGGGGGAAGGGGGGGGCTCTGGCCGGTGCACGGCGGGTCAGGTCCCACCGGCGAGGGAGGGGGGGGGAACGCCGGACGCTACTTGGGCTGAAGTACGAAAGCGGCCGCTTGCTCGCGGAGCGGAGGGTCTGTCGCAAGGACCGGTAGACGTCCCAGTCGCTTTAAAGATGGGTGCGCAGATTCTAACCCATATCAGCGGCGTTGCGTTGCGCATGGGCTCGCTTCCTGGTCAGGCTCGCGGGTCTTCAGAGTTAGTGATTAGCCTGTTACAGTGGATGTTCATTGCACATTTGGATCTGCTTGGTGAGCTAAGGAACAGTTACTTGTCATTTGCTTTAGGCTGCCAGAGCTCTATAAATGTTTATGACACAGCTGCCTGCTGAGCCACTAGAGGATGCAGGGAGTCCAGTTTGTATGCTGAAGCACTGAAATTACCACTCGGATATTTTTAAAAGCCTTGTGTGTTACTCAGTTATTGAAATTAGTGTTGACAAGTGAAAAAAGTGCCACTTTTCATGTAGTGTGTCAGTTGCCCCAAAATACATGATAGGAATGACTTGTGGTGTGTATTAGGATGAGTAAAGCTGTGTAACATTGTAATGACAATAAATACTTTTGAGTCTCATTGCAATGTCCTTCCATATGTACATATCCATTTTAACTCGATGGTAATTCAGAACAAATGGAAAAATCTTCAGAATAGATCTGTGTTGTGCCAGAAATTAGAAGGCTGTATAATTAAGTATTCATTTCAGACAGACTACCTTAAAATACAGGCGTACACCAAGCCATTATTGTGACATATTTCCAGAGTTTTTGGTTTTCCATTATTCAAATCTAAGGTAAGAGTTCCTATGTTAGCATTTACTGCATCTGGTGTTAAGTGAGCCTCTGTCCTTTCCATAACTGACCTCTGTGAGTATTTCATGATAAATGTGAGTATTGAAGGAAATAACTTTCCAGAGCAGTCACGTTTCTCTTAGAATTCCTTTGTTTCATTTTTTCCTTCATTTCCTTTTGGTGAGCTTTATTGTTTTGCATGTTTTGTTAGAAAAGAGCAAACTAACACTTTCCTATGACAGTAGGGCTCACAAGGATGGGTATTTTTCACTTATACCATCAATCTCCAAATGCACATAGCCAAAACACGTTTTGTTTCTCAGGGCATCAAGTTGTCAGCAGAGGTCAAACCCTTTGTTCCAAAACATGCGGCGGTAACTGTGGCATGGTCAGAACCCTCAGAAGCATGTGTCTTTCCTAGGTACTTAACTACATGCTACCCATTTGTTCAGGAACCATCTCTGGATAAGTATGTATATTTTCTGAATCTTATTTCTTGGGCAATTTTAATCTTCTGGTTTCAGACATTGAATACTCATACAAAGTTAGAGCTATGCCATATGAATATCCTAACTGTAGAAACGCCTATGCGTTTGCCTTCATGATTCATGTTTTTGCATTTATGTTCTTTGGGCATACATCTGGTTCTGTGTCTTTTGCTCCCGTGGGCCTGTATTGTTACAGAGCATTCAGGAGGATTTGTTGGTCTGTAGTGGTTGGTCTCACTCGTGCTTTGGGAGGTCCTTAGGTGAAAAAAATGGTTGTGTTATGACAAGGCTGGAGTAAACACAGTCATACAAAAGGAAGAGGCAGATCCTCCAAGAAGGTTTCTCATACTGTAGAACATTTAGATAACGTTTGGAGCTCATCCTGGATCTCTTCTCCACAGCCTGTGAATCTCTAGAAAGGCACTTTTAGTAAGAATGCTGCAGGTTTCTGAAAGTCGTTTTTTTTTGGGGTTTTTTTGGTTTTTTTTTTTTTTTTTTTTTTTTTTTTTTATTCTAATAAGGCCTGAAGAAAAAGGCATTTGTGGTAGACTTAAAAGTATTGTTAGCCCCAGAACAAGCTAGAAAAAAGCCTACGTACTAGGATAGGAAGTAACCGAATCTTGTAAGA